CCGCTGGCTATCATACAAAGCATAATTGTTAATCCTCCTGGGTATACACCTTTCTCTGAATTGAGTCCTTCTACATATTCGCGCAATGCTTTAGGTACTGGATCCCACTGAACACGAGGATTGTGAATCTGAAACAAATTCATCATTGAAGAGATACACCACGTGCTGTTTTCCATTGCTTTTGTAACTGCACATTTTTGTAACTTGCCTGTTTTGCTATACAACTCAGACAAAACAAGTTTGTGATCCCGCACCTTCTCAACATATTGAGACACGCGAAAATCTGATATATATTCATGTGTATTTCTTTGAGCTCTTTCTATCCAAAGCGCCACCCAAAAGTTTGCTGCTCGGCGACAAAAGCCCCCATCGTTTGTGGGAGGCAATGGCCTAAAAACATTTATGAGAAAAGGTATCTGGGTTTTCGCTCATTAGATCGTCAAGATATGCTCGCCCAGTTCTCGCTGCATCCATTTGGCTTCCTTTGTAATACTTGTATAACGCAGTACATGAGTTGAATTTATTCACATCTTCAAATATCCCTGCTTTTGCCATTTGATAGACAGAAGCTATTAAAACACAAACCAATAAATTTGAGCCGGCTGGCCACGGAATGATAGCGAAACATATGCACTGTAGCAAAGAAGGATGATCATATGAGAACAAATGATGGATCGAATAATATATCACTGATGATTATGATACGCACGGAACCAAAATTAATGATGCCAAGCCAGCCCCCGAAAGCTCCAAGACGGCTGCAGAAGTCTTGCTGGTGACCCAGGAGACCCACTCGAGGGACTCTTATGGCCTCAAAGGCTATAGTATGAAATGTTATTTCAAGTCTTGCCTTCCAAGGCGGTCTCAAGAGCTCTCCACAGCTTTTTCTGCTGCCTTTTTGCAAGCATCAAAAAAGCTCCTGGTCGATACTATAACTTCCACGATCGTCGCAAGCACGCCCTCCTTCAAGGCGGTTTCAGAGCTCCCCAAAGCTTTTTTTGTTGCCTTTTTGCAAGCATCAAAAAAAGCTCCTGGTCGATAATATAACTTCCACGATCGTCGCAAGCACGCGCTCCTTCTGAGGGGCGGCGGAATGGCGCTGGCCTCTTCTTCTTTGTTTTTTTCGCCCTTCGAGCCAGAGCCAGAGAGGGTCTTGTGCGAGCCAGAGCCCTTTTGCTCCTCCTGCTGCCCCTGCTGCTGCTCCTCCTCTTGCTGCTCCTCCTGCTCCTGCTGCTGCTCCTCCTGCTGCTGCCGTCGCTGCTGCTCCTTTCGTTTGTTTGTTTCTGTCTGTTTTTTTTCTCCTCGTCTGTCGTCCTCTCTCCTTCCCTTGCTCCTCCTCCTTCTCTCTGTTCCTCCCCCTCCTTCCTTTCTCTCCCCCCTCCCTCCTCTCCTTGGCGTCCCTCCTCCTCTTCCTCCCCCCTCTCTCTGCGGCTTGCCCTACTGCCTACTGCTCGAGGAGGTGCGCGGGCGGCTCCCCCTTCTCTAGCACCAGGAGGGCCACCTGGTTCTTCTGAATCAACTTCTCTAGCTTTTCCGCGTCGTCCTGCTGCTCCTGCTGCTCCTGCTGCTGGTTCGGCTTCGGGCGCTTCTTCGGCAGGGGCTGCGGCTGCTCCTGCTGCTCCTGCTGCTGGTTCGGCTTCGGGCGCTTTTTGGGCAGGGGCTGCTGCTGCTCCTGCTGGTCCGCTGCTGCTGCGCTGGGCTGCGGCTGCTGCTGCTGCTCCAGCGCCGCGCGCAGCGTGTCCGTCGCGCTGCGCGCTAGCGGCTGAGGCGGCGTTTTCGAGGCGGGCCGGTACGTGGTGATGTCGAACACCATGCCAGCCCCCGAGAAGAGCTGACAAAACTCAACCATGAAATGACACATCATTTTTTAGAAACCGAAAAGGGGAAACCATTTATCAAATCTCGGTAAGGACGCAATACCTTCGGAAATCGCAAGGATGCAATCTCACATCTTCTCAATGAGTTGTGATAGAGCTGTTACTCAAGATGTGCCATTTCATGGTTGAGTTTTGCCAGCTCTTCTGTGTGGTCTGCCGAGGGTCGTGGAGGCTCTGCCGAGGCTATGCGAGGCTTGAGTCAAACCGGCTATCAACGGACATATTGAAACCGAAACGCTCGCAACACACCTGATAACTAAACTCAGTTCTGCATCAATATGATGTCTTTTGGGACCTTAAAACACAAAAAACCGAAGAAAAAACAGAAAACCAAAAAAACAATCCCTGGGGAGGTCCTGGAAATATTTCGCAATTGTTTGTTGTTGCTGTTTTTTGTTATCCTTAGGTTTTTGTTTTTTGGGTTTTCATTTTTTGTTTAAACAAAAAATGTTTACATGTTTTTTTGGTTCTCCATTTCAAAAACCAAAGAAAGCATTGTTTTTTTGTTTTTCATCCAGAAACCCAAACAACATTGTGTTTTTTGTGTGTTTCACCTCAGAACAAAAAAAAAACAAGGAAAGCCAAAAAAACAAAAAACCAATCCCTGGAGAAGTCTTTCCCCCAAAGACTTTTGCAGGAATTGTTTTTTTTTTTTTTTTTTTTTTTTTTTTTTTTTTTTTTTTTTTTTTTTTGTTTTCCTTAGATGTTTTTAGGTTTCTCATTTCAGAAACCCAGAAAACACATTTTTTTTGTTTTTTTCCTTCCGACAGCCAAACATCATTGTGATGTTTTGGTTGTTCCTTCCGAAAACCAGAAAAACTTCGTTTTTTATCTCAGAAACCAAAAAACAACCTAAGGAAAACCACATAAAACAACCCCTCAAGATATTTCCCCAGGACCTCCCCAGGGATTGATTTTTTTCCAGCTCAGAACCAAAACAACACCCAAGGAAAACCAACAAAAACAAAACCAAACAAATTTCTGTGGAGATTTCCCCCAGGATCTCCCCAGGGATTGGTTTTTTGTTGTTTTGGTTTTCCTTGTGTTGTTTTAGTTTTCGTATTCAGGCGTACAGAATTCTATGCACGAGCTCTGGGGATCTGTTTGCGTGCTATGAGTTTCTAATTGTTTCCCGCGCGCTTTACCGAAGACCTCTCCCGCCTCATCCCACCGAGGATTCTCTGAGAACGTCTTGCTGGATTCAAGTCCAAAGGCATCGCGGACGGCCCCACGGATCTCCGAAAACCAGCCCGCACAGGGTTCCTTTCTGTATGTATATATATATATATATATATGTATGTATGTATGTATGTGTATATATATATATATATATATATTGGTCGTATCATGGGGCGCGAGTCCTTAGCGTGTTACGTGATGCCTAGAGATTTGCCTTTTTGGGGGCGCGACTCCTTTGTGTTTTACGCATGTGCGTATAGGTTGGCCCTCTCCTGGGGCACGAGTCCTTTGCGTGTGCACGTGTATGCCTATAGATTGGCCCTTTCCAGGGGCACGGATCTTGTGTTTTACATATTTGCTTACAGATTTGCCCTCCCCTGGGGCACGAACCCTGCGTGTTTTACGTAAGCGCTTATGGATTTGCCCTCTCCTGGGGCACGAACCCTTCGTGCTTTACGTATGTGCCTATAGATTCGCCCTCTCCTGGAGCACGAATCCTTCGTGTCTTACGCGTGTGCATATAGATTGGCCTTCCCCTGGGGCACGAATCTTTTTGTGATTAACGTATGTGCCAACAGATCGGCCTTCCCTTGGAACACGAATCCTCTTAGTGTTTTACGTATGTGCCTATAGATTGACCCTCTCTTAGGGCGCGAATCTTTCGTGCTTCACGTGCGTGCTGGTAAAGTGGCCGTATCATGGGAGACGAATTCTTAGCGTGATTGGCCTTCTCCTTGGGCACGATCCCTTTCCAGGGGCACGAATATTTCGCGTTTTACGTATTTGCTGATCGATTTGCTTTCCCCTTGGGCACGAATCCTGCGAGGCGTCACGAGCTTCACTGGGCGTCAGGGGAATAGAGGCTTCAGGCCGAAGAGAGGCTTCACGAGCTTCACCGGGCGCCACGTGAATAGAGGCTTCAGGCCGAATAGAGGCTTCACGAGCTTCAACGGGCGCCACGGGAATAGAGGCTTCCGGCCGAATAGAGGCTTCACGAGCTTCAATGAACGTCAGGGGGATACAGGCTTCAGGCCGAATACAGGCTTCACGAGCTTCAATGAACGTCAGAGGAACAGAGGCTACAGGCCGACTAGAGGCTTCACGAGCTTCAATGGGTGTCAGGGGAATAGAGGCTTCAGGCCGAATAGACGCTTCACGAGCTTCACCGGGCGTCAGAGGAATAGGGCTTCAGGCCGAATAGAGGCTTCACGAGCTTCACCGGGCGTCAGGGGAATAGAGGCTTCAGGCCAAATAGAGGCTTCACGAGCTTCACCGGGCGTCAGGGGAATAGAGGCTTCAGGGCGAATAGAAGCTTCACGAGCTTCAATGAACGTCAGAGGAATAGAGGCTTCAGGCCGAATAGAGGCTTCACGGGTTTCACTGGGCGTCAGGGGAATAGAAGCTTCAGGCCGAATACGCGCGTCTAGGGTCGCCACCCCACCAGTGCGTCGCAATTCGTAGGCCGAATAGGAGCGTCACGCGCCGAATGCAAGCTTCAGGCCGAATAGATGCTTCAGGTCGAATAGAAGCCCCACGAGCTTAACGGGGGTCAACGGAATAGAGGCTTCAGGCCGAATAGAGGCGTCATGAGCTTCACCAAGAGTCAGCGGAATAGAGGCGCCACCGCAGCTCCTTGAGGGAATAGCGTCTTCAAATAGCGTCTTCGGCGCCGGCTCGAACGGGGACCCCCCCGGGCCAGGCCCCTGAGTTTTTTTACTCCAGCGAAAGAATGGGATCAACGAGTTCTCCACGCCGCCCATAGGTGATGTAGCCGAAGGAGAAATCTGATACACATGCCAGGAAGGCGCAGAAGACCACTTCGTTGGGCTTCGCGGAGGGGCGCAACAAGGTTTCTTCGGGAGGCGAGAGGGCTTCCGGGAGGCCCGCCTGCCCCCTCGGAGGTCCGCCCCCCCACCCCCGTCCACCTTCTGCACGGCCGCCGAG